CCCGGGGTCCAATTTGCTTGCTGCACTTTGACGTTGCATAATAATTAAGAGAAGCTGAAAATGTTTAGTTATCTGTTGAGAGACATGTATCATTTTTTGACTTTCTGTATTGCAGAATGATATAATAAGGATAAATTTGTATTGACAACAATAAAAGTAGGACCCACAAAACATTTTGCAGTATTTTAAGATGTACTAAAATTTCTACTTAAGGAAAGGGAACAACATTGTGGGACAACTCAAAAAGGAACGTAGTATGAGCATTTCTGGACAGAGGCAGGTAAAAAATTTCCCAAACTAATTTGTTTGTGCTATAATAATGACGAATATGTTTCTGGCTTGCATCTCCAGGCACTAAGCCATTAATGGCAAGTTACTCCTGCTTAAAGTGAAGGTTGAGTAGTCATATGCTTCAACTCAGTTTAGCAAATGTTCACAAGCTTTATGCTGATTACTAAGCTCACTGGGTTACAAACTCAACTTTGCTTTTAGTGAACAGGTCAGGATCTACACTAACAAACCCCCCAACCCCACCCCCAAAAAAAAGCCTTTCCTGGTCCAATAATATGCATTTAATTTTTAGAAAATAATATGGGCCAAGCAATAATGCAACTCAGGCAATCAGGAAATGACGTCACATTCTCATGGAATTAAAACAAACAAAATAAAGTCATAGCTGCACAACATATGCCACCCAGAACTAGTGTCAAAACCTGTATTTGTTATTTGGATGCTATAGGAAATGACTGGGCATCAGAAGCTGTGGTTTCTCCTTGTCTTCTTCAATTTCAACTGATGCTGCAGCTTTTATTTCCTCGACCCTTTTATCCCATATACCATCTATTAGCTTCCACGTTTCATCACTAATTATCTGGGTCTGCGTAAAAAAAGAAATGCCATCAATACATAGAGTATTCATCATAAAGATCACTAAATACAGCATCCATTGTGCTTACCTCCATAGGTCGTGGTGCACCAAAAGTTGAAAATCCAACATTTCCAGGTGCAAATGTCACCCTCCCTGGAAGTGAAACCCCATGGACTCCCCACCTTCCAGCATATATAAGGGCTCCATATTCATCAACAGGACTCACAGTAGGCTGAAAAATGAAAGAAACTTTAAAACTACAAATGCTATTTTGCAGCAACATTCAAGTAGAAGAGTAATATTAAGCAAGCAGAGTGGCCAAGCACGAGAGGGGAAAAAAAGCAAGAGGCAGTTGCTCGTATGCCACCGACAGTAAGCACAATGGCATTTTCCGAGTGAATAGGTGTTGTCGATCTCTAAATTATGCAACATGTAACCCAAGAGCTTGGACACAAGCCCAGTTTGCCTGTATGCCAAATCTACTCCAAAGAACACCGAACCAGTACAACCTCCTCGAAAATGTTTTATCAATGACGTAAGTGTACTCTGGAAGGCTCCTTCTTAGTTGTTTTTATTTCTTTTTCTTTTTTGGGGAGGAAAGAAAAGGAATAGAAAAGAAGAAAATTGCATAACTCTTCCTCAATCAAATCAGTAAAACCGCTGGCAAGAGAAGTAACGAATCACCTGAGGACTTTTAGGCGAGCTTTTGTATATGCTCCAAATTTCATCAGCTTTGATCTCTCCTTCCTCAAGCAACACATCTGATCAATAGTCAACACACAAGCATGAGCCAATCAACAGTAAGTATCCAAAGCCAGTTGCACAATTTTACAAATCTTGGAGACAATCCTTAAAGTGGCTAGATAATCAAGATTAAATAACTTTACCTGTAATTGTCTCTACAGCGGCATGGTTCTCCTTTAGAATAGACAAACATTTCTCCATGGCATATCTCATGTACTCATCTCTAAGTGCTTCAATTTTAGAAGGGAGCTGCAAAACACAATAACAAGAATGCAAATTAGACATCTAATAAACTTATAGCTTATATAAAATCCAGTATATACTCACGTTTGGTACGAGATCTCTCTGGTATCTGTAATAAGCTTTTCCCAAGGCAGTCAACCCTGTCTGAAGTATCAAAAATTCTGCAAGCCTGGAAGCTTCTAAAGTTGCTTTTGCAGAGATCCAACATAGATTGTCAACTCCAAACATTTTTTCCTCAATTACTCTGGCTACAGAGTCGATCTATCAGTGGTCCACATGAAAGAATCAAACCAAGCAAAAGGAAAATAACAAAGAAACAAAAAAAAGGCCTTTTAAGCAGGGTTCATATTGTAACACGTGATGTCTATTTATCTTTGATATTAGGGGTATTTCCATGGATTTTCCATGTTATTGTGTTCATACAGATGTATTGAATCTATCATGTTCTAAATTGTGCAACCTCTCAAACCAATGCCTTGCAAGCTTTGAAACTTTGAAAAAGATGTAATAAAGCACAAACTTAGAGACATTACAAGACGAACAGATTACCAGTTTGAATTATGATAAATCTACGAGACTACGATAATGGCTATACTTTTGTTAAGAATATTGATGGAAATTTATAAAAGAGGAAGAGAATTTTGCAAATGACATTCATTGACCTAGAAAAAGCAGAGTGTAAAAGAAGTGCTGAGACAAAAGGAATTTATATCAAGTATATAACGCTATAAAAGATATATAGATGACAGTCACAAGTATGAAAAATAGCGGAAGAAGATATGCAGAAGTATCCCATAATCGTGAGTTTATACCAAGGATTTGCCTTGAGTCCTTGTTTGCCCCTGTTATGGATAACCTAACCAATAGTATTTAGAATAAAGTTCCATGGTGCATGTCATTTTTAGATGATATTATGTTAATCGACGAAACTAAGCAACGAAATTAACCAAAAGCTCGAACTATGAAAGCACTATAGAGCATTCTTTTAGGGTAACTAAAATTAAGACAGAGTACATGCGTGATAGATTATGATGATGATCATGGTGATGATGATGTAACACACAGAACAAAAAATTGGATTGTTGAGAGTGCTATGGGACAGGAATCTAACCAACAAAATGGAAAGGAAGCTTTATCAAAATGGTCGTGAGAATGAAGGGCCTTAGATAAGGGAGCACTATGCGACAGGAAGACCGAAATCGTTGAAGAAAGAATGTTGGGTATTAGATGAGTACCGTTGAAACCCAGATGTGCAGTCATATAATGTTACATACATTCAAAATGATCATGTTCTACGGTTCTAGTAGCAAAATATCCACATAGACAATAACAATTAGCTGGGATTAAGGCTTTATTATTGTGGTCGCACATATATTAAGCTGGTGTTTGCCATGAACCCCTTTTTGGTCTTTTTTAGCTTGGTCAGACACTTGTATGTCAATGCAGGAAGTAATGTTGAATTTTAGAGGACCCTTAGTCCAAAATGCTTTAATTTGACTTAAACAAATTAATAACCTGTATTAAAGTGATTTACGCTCTAGTTAAGCGAAACGCTCATAGAGAATTCATATATCCGACCCTAACTAGTCGGAAATAGAAGCTCAGAATATTGATTGATTGATTAATATGAGTAAGTATAGGCTTAAATTCCCAATATTTCTACCTAATGATTGTAACCACTTTTAATATATCTGGAATTATCTCATTTTTGGTTTAATTTGAATTCCTTTTTCCTTTTTTGATAATTGATAGTAAGGTTTTATTTGAATTCTTACAGCAGCAGTGACATAACCAAGAAGTTATGAATGTCAAAGCTTCCAATTTTAAAACTTTCCATACGAAATTACAGTCAAATATTTCAGTAACTGAGCTCCTGGAGTCAACATAGAAGGTTAAGGTCATTGTACTCCTATCTAGCATACTCCTTGGCTCTGATGGGTAGCTTGTTCCGCAACTTAACTCTCGACAACCTCACAGCTGATATGCTTGAAGACTCACTGGTGGGTAGAGATCACCATTTGGAGGGTTTATCAGGGATAGACATTCTTACGCTGTAAAATGAACAGGAGTTGAAACATAGATTCAGGAAAACATCACCCAAGTAGAGATATACAGAAAGGTTCCTGAACCTCTTCTTTTTTTTGGGCAAGGTAGAAAGGTACCTTCACATCAAGTTTACTTCCAACAAAAACTCTAATATTTTCCCCTAAGTTTACTTAAGCTACTACAGTATCTCCCATCCTCAATATATTGATCCAGCATTGTTTTACCTTAACGAACTTTCCCATTCTCAAGGACTTGCTTAGCAAATTCCTCAGTTAATATTCTCCTTATCTAAATAATAAAGTAGCAGGAAGCTGCAGAGAACCTAAGAAAGTCACATAACGTGTTATAGTACAATACCATTGTTGGAGATGGGAACAGTGAGAAACCGATTTCAAACAAAAGATCCATAAAGAAGATTCACACAAGTGTTTATAGAACGACAATATTGAACACAGAAATATTATTTCATTTTCCAACTTACGAGCACATGCACGGACTATTGAGTTCACATAATCTGCTTTCCTTTTAAACACTCTGCCTCCAATTTCCATGAATTGCATATTGGGCTGACTACGGATGGATTTGATATCCGTCTGTCATTATACCAAAGACCAAATATACAGGAATATGAGCACATTGCAAATTTAAGAAATACTAAGAATGAGTAACATGATATCTGTATGAGTTAAACCTCAGTGAATGGTCGGTAGGGATCTGGAAGGTAACATGCAAGAACTGCAACAGCAGCTTCTCTGTAAGCTAGTCTCAGTGTTAGCTCCTCAGGGACCTCAGTGCTATCTTCTTGACCCGTTTCAAATGTACCCTTTTGCTGTAATATTATATGATATAACATGAACATAATGACCTGATTCAAACATATAAAAGATGCTGCACATCTCAATTTTTAGCACCTACCCTCTTCAAGGCCTCAAGAAGTTCATCTCGTCCAATATAATCTAAGTCTTTCCTCGCAGTCAATATTCCAGCTTCATTCCTGCCCAGAAGAAGGTGTGAGCTAGTCCCTCCAAATGCTGAATTAAAAGGAATTACAGTTGAGGATTATGTACAATATATTTTGAAGTTCAGCTCCAGTAAAATCTTCTGTGAGCTCTGCAATTTCCTGTAACAAAGTGTCCTTTTCCTCTTCTGACCGGAAAAATTTATTTCGAGCATGTACCTGAGATATTTGAAATGAGGATCAAACATACTGACACAAGAAATCCAGACAATCTTCTAAAGATTAATAGATGTCAATCATTAGTGAGCAAGCAGCGACATACCATCAATATGGCCAATCTACCGTCTTTTGAGGGCAAACCGACCCTAATAATCTTGTCAAAACGACCCTTTCTTAACAGCGCAGGATCAAGAATGTCCAATCTATTGGTTGCACCAATAACTAATACCTGATAAATCAGCATTTAACAGCAAACCTTAGAAGCTCCTATTACTTCTCTATGGGAAACCATCATCTTAACTATACTGTACCTGTGATGTTGACACTTTAAATCCATCCATTTCCGTCAATATCTGAAGAAGCCCCTGTTCCCTCTCTGCACCACCCTAAGAAAGCAAACACATGTCGTTTAATACATAAAATTATTTCAACGCAGTGCAGATGTATGTTAATTAACGAAATTAGTGAGCGAACCAACTGAACGTACTATGGAGAAGCAAGACGTTTAGTATTAGAAGTAATACAGAATATATGTATTGTAGATTTAGCTCCCCATAACAAGAATGAAGTTGAAGTGATATTAGACGGGACTGCAGTTCCTAGGGTAGACAATCCAGATATTTAAACTCAGTGTTCTAGATGAATGGTATGACAGATCAAGAGATAACAGATAAACTAGAATAGCTTAAATAGAAGGGTGCAGCAGGACAGCTCTGCAGTAGGAAGATATTTACCCCCGTGAAAGGCAAATTCTATAGGAGAATTGTGAGACCAAAACTATTATACGGGGTGATTGTTGAGCCTATAAGGCCTAAGATGTTCACAAGATGAGTGTCATAGAAATGTAAATGTTAGAATAGATATACGATTATACAAGATTTGACATGATCATAAAATGATTACAGTCACTAAAAGGTGCAAGTAGCACATATAGAGGATAAAACAAGAGAAAGTAGTCTCAGATGGTTCGGCTATGTTCTCTGTGGACTTCCAATTGCACCGGTCTATAACTATGACACTACGATAATCAAAAGTGTTAAGATCGAGAGGAGGCAGAACTAACATCACGTGAAAAGAAGTTGTTTGCCAACAGTCTCTCGATATCTGTGAAAACTTAGAAAAACATAACATACTATAATCAAAAGATCCTTATAGGCAACACCAACTAGTTTGAATTAAGGCTTAGTCATGTTGATACACTTACATACCTTTGGTGTTCGCCAGGAGTCTTTTTAGATTGTTCAGAGTATTGTATGTCGGTAATGCAGAGAACCTCTAGTGTTAGAGAACTCCTAATTTATTTGTAAAGACAAATTATTGAAAGGAAACGGTCCACTGGAGCTGACCTATTTCCTATTCCCAACTAGTTCAGGATTGAGGCACAGTTATTGTTTTTCTGGTAGTGACAAGTCTTCAATATATTATTCAATATTGCACTTGTGGATACCATTATACCAAAAGGCTAAGCAATAGTCAAAGTAAAGATGACCACCAAATTGACAAAGGAGCACCTGAAAACAAACTATCCACTAGATGCGCTTAAGTTAATCTAAGTCCCTCTATTTAACCCCCTAACCAAAAGAAAACCCACCCTTTATTGCTTTTTTTTTTTTTTGAGTAAGCACCTTTTTTCTTGCTTTTTTGTACATTTGTTGTATAGGTTTAGAAGTGACAGACACAATAGCGTGTAGGCACAGCTCTTAGAGAACAAGGATATGGAAATATCTGCAGATGGGTTAAGAAGACATGCATCCAAGTTTCATATGAACTTGAACGTCATTTCATAATTACCAGTGAAGAGTGATATCTCAAAACCAAAAATTACTAACGGGAGAATAAGTTATTTATTATGCAAAGAAAAAAAAGAAAAAGATATTGTATCATACCCCACCAATATCTGGTCCACCACGTTTGCTGCCAATTGCATCTATCTCATCAATGAAAATAATAGAAGGAGCAAATGATCTGGCACTGGAAAAAAGGTCCTTCACACGTGAAGCAGCCACACCGGCAAACATCTGCATAGATGTGAAAGGTTAGACGCTACAAATGCTGCCAAAACAAAAGGAGAAATTCCTGAATCAAATATTGGAGTGCTAGTATAGATAGTACACACATATGGAAGTAAAGAAGCCTAGGCTAAGGGCCTTAGGGCACATGCTTCTGGTTTTGTCTACTTCCTCCTACTTATTTTTCCCTATCTTGGGTTACATTCTGCTGAAGGTTTAAAGAATATTGCTGAAGTCACCAACTCGTTTGATAAGCAGGAAAAAAGATATCTGCTTTTTGGGATAATGGGTACATATTCTTAGGACATGCTGTCCCTCTATTACAGCTAGACAAAGAAGGAATGCTGACTAATAGAGCTAACCCAAACTCCATAGCATGAAGGAGAAACAACAAGGTATACATAGTGGCAAGGGATAAAAGGAACGTGGAAAATTTTATCACCATTTTCTGACCCACATGCACTTTGAAATAGGCAATTTAGTGCTCTGAAATAATTTTACCCTTTCCCTTGGACTCAATTTGACTGGGATAAAGCCGTTCCTACAATAATTAGCATTTTTGTTTGGAATCTCCTATTTGACTTTGTATGCGGGGATTTCAGAATCAGTTAAGGAAATAAATTTAGCGGTTGTGGTTTCAGACGAAAAAGAAATTTGAACAGTCTATTTCCATAACTTTTCATGATACGATGGCATTATAGTAGTGAGCGCTTTTACTTCTCAGATCGGCAAGTACTTCTTCCAAACGGTGATGAAGCGGCATAAAATGTAACATCAAAGCCCGACTTCCGCATGAATGAGACAAAGTGCATTACAAAATAGAACGCAGCACTCTCCTGGAGATAGAAAGGAACTTGTAACACAATATTCTAGTAAATAAGTTCTTCATAAATAGAAGATGATGCATCCACTTTTGAATGGATCAACTGTAGGGGCACTCAATCCCTCAACTTTAACTACTTTTGCTCTTCTTTATACCAAATAAGTGAAATGATCCTTCCCCTTCCACATTTACTTCCACTCCTCCAACCTTACTATTTACACCCCAACGAAGTAATGAATTGTGAGACCATCTCATCTTAAGACTTAAGCTACAGAGAGAGCACACATTTAAATACAACAACATACCCAGTATTATCCCACAAGAGCACACATTTAAATACTTAAGTATATTACGTGCCAGCACAATTCCTTACATGTGCGACTGGATTTTTTATTTTTTTTTGAGTCGCAGTGATGCTTGCATCAGGGTAGGCTGTCTACATCACACCCCTTCGGGTGCGGCTCTTTCCCAGACACGCATGAACGCGGGATGCTTCGTGCATTGGGCTACCCTTTTAGTGAGATTTGAACCCGGGATCTTTTGTTTGCTCCGCAAGGTAGTCAGAGCCAGCCAGTTTTTCATTAAACAGGCTTGCCAGCTCTGATACCATATTGAATTCTATGATCATCTTATCTAAAAGCATAAACTATTAGAATAAGCACACGTTTAAGCATTCTACTTATATTATGTAATTAAAAGAAAATGAATAAGACTTAAAATTTGTAAAAGAACTCAGAAAGTAATTTAGAGGAATTTGTTTTCCTCCAAATCACTTTCTAACTTTTAAGTCTTATTCACGGTGTCAGATCGAGGATTAAGACAGGTTCAAAGCGGGTTTAATTCTAGCTATTGCAGCCAATTTAACAATAATGAAGTTTTTTTTAGAGAAATTTGTGGCGAAGGCAGAGACTTGCCGGGGGTGATTTGGATGTTCAACCCTTTGCGGTTATTGTGAAGGAAGATTCGACTTGTTGAAGATTATATGAAGAAGACTGGGCAAATTTATTTTGTCAGAAAATTCAGGTCAAAGAGGAGATTTGTTAGTCGTTTGCCCTCATTTTCTTATCATGTTTGGGTTTCGGCAACACATTTACTATAATTGATTTTTTCATAAATTTGTCATAATTGGCTTTTCCCTTTTCCATTTTTTTTTTGAGAAGGTAAGTTCCTAACTATAAGTTGTGTATAGAGTTCCCTTTTTATTTTTATATATTTATTTTGTACTTTCTCCTAGCGATAGGAAGGTGTGGAGGTCGAAGATTAAGATGGTGCGTTGACAGGTAGTTGTAAGTTTCTCCTAGGTTTACCAGTAGTACTAGTATATTCTTGTTGTTGGTTGAAAGTTACTTCCTTTTAGTTTGTTATTTTATCTGGTACGTAGTAACCTCGTCCATTTTTTTTTGAAAATTGCTACTGGAAATTGTTGCTCCCTGATTGTTACTATTAGATGCAACTCTTTCTCCCTTTTACTGGAAATTGTTGCTCCCTGATTGTTACTATCTGATGCTACTTTTTCTCTTCTTTTTCCTTATCGTCTTTTGTCTCCCTCGTCTTTCTTTCTTCTTCTTCTTCTTTTTCCCTTTTCTTCCTTTCCACCTTATCTTAAGCAGAGGGTATATCGGAAACAACCTCTCTACCTCTCCAGGTAGGGGTAAGGTCTGCATACACACTACCCTCCCCATACCCCACTTGTGAGATTATACTGGGTATGTTGTTGTATTTTGTACTTTCTCCCTTTTTATTATTTTTATTTTTATTCTTTGAATAGGAGAGCTCAACCTAACTAGCTTATTTTACCGCTTGGGCTTCTCTCTCGACACTCGGCACATGGAGCTACTTTTGGCTTCTTTATCTATCTCTGAATTCAGCCCATCGAGCCAACCGCTTTCTCTCTTCATATTGCTCTGGGCTTCTCTCTCAATTCAGCCCATTGGCTACTCTGGGCTTCTACATATCTCTCTCTAATTCATCCTATCGCGCTCGTGACATAGCTCCAACTCCACTCATTAGCTTGTTGAGTCTAATTTGTCCCCCTCTACTCCATGCTCACTCCTGTCAAGTCTCTTCTTTCTTCAAAAAATAATAGTATCTAAAAACAATTCTTTAGTGTAAACCCTAGAACTGGGTTACACGTGCGGGAAGAAGTTAGGGAATACACTTGTTCCTTATTGGTTGTGTAGGCTTTCCAAAAGAGTCAATAATGCTCTGGGTCACTCCACCCATTATCTTAAGGTTTTGGGTTGAGGCACAAATTCTTTCGCACCAAACATAGTCAGCTGTTAGATAAATTTTCCTACAGACCGATGTAGAAAGTTAGATAGTGCTCAAACATGAGATATCTTGCTTTTGCTAACCGATCATACCCAGGATGATTACTTCGGGCTATTAATTTCTGAGGAGTTTCTGGACATTAACAATTGAAACATGTCCGTGGAGACCACAACATAGGACAGGCCATCAAAGAATCATCTATAAGCTTTACCAGCATCCTAATTAAAGTCTATCCTGCTACTGTGGGGAACTAAGACTGACAGTTGATGGTCCACGATCCAGCTTTGTAGCATCGCGAATATAGCACAAAAAGCAGGTAACAACAACAACAACAAAAAACCCAGTGAAATCCCACAAAAAGCAGGTAAGTGATTACAAAAGGTTTACTAGAAGGAAGGAATGACCGAAGACGTTCAGTTCAGTCGTGCTAATTTATAGCATCCAATAAGATATCCCACAATGTTTTTGTTCAGATATAAAGAACTGAAAATAAGCTAAAGCAAAATTGGAAAGAGAAACAAGATTTATATGTTAAAAAATAAAAAGAAAGAAACAAATGAACAAACATGCAAGTGTTTACCAGAAATAAACAAAACAGGTTCAAGAAACAGAAGACAGAAGCTAATGAAAACTTTGTTATCTTTAACATGCAATTGTTGGAATACGGCAGGAAAACCAGGAATATGTTCATCGATAATTTTGCAACTTAAAAGTATGGATTTGCCAATATAATTGGAATGCAGCTTTCATTTTTGAGTCCATTATAGCTGATTGTCATAGATGCCGTGTTTAACCCTGTAAGTGCATGTTGTTACCCAAAACACAAATCAATTAACAAAACTTTCACAATCTTGCAACTGTCAGAATTTACTCATCCATTTTAGTGTATCTGAAGGTTGCAATCGTGAGTACTTCTCACCTCAACAAAATCAGTACCATTAGCAGCAAAAAAAGGTAATCCCGCTTCTCCAGCTATAGCTTTTGCCAGAAGTGTTTTACCAGTTCCAGGAGGACCATGGAGAAGCACACCTTTTGGACAATAAATCCCTTTGTTTTGAAACTCGTCTTCATTCTTCAGTATTCGGACAATCTCTTGAAGCTCTCTCTTAATATATTCTTGCCCAGCGAAATCATCAAAAGTTATACCAGTTTTTTCTTCTGCTGATATGAATTTTGCTCTGATGGCAGATGGTAAAAAGAGAATTACAATCTAATGTTGCATTAAGGGGTCAAACTGTAGTCCAGTTAAGAATACAGATATGTTAATAACAGAAAAGGTTATTCTGCAGTGAGGTTGCTTTCCCCATTTTCCAATAGTCATAAAACAGTAGCAGAAAAGATAAAAATACAGAAACAAGCTTCTTGCATGCAAAACTAAATCATCTCCTTTTTTTTTTTTCCTTATTTGCATTTATCACTTTTTTTTAATTTGTAATTAGCATTTATCATTGTTACTCAAGAAACTCCAAAATGTTCATACCTTTTTGATTCCCTTCACCCCTTACACACTTCACGTATATGCAAGTTGACAAGCGTGCATAAACATAACAAATACAGCAAGCAAATGACCAGTATAACACTTCTATTGACTGAAAAGCAAATAGTAAAAAGAAACAAAAAGAACAGAACAACAATAACAACAAATAAGAAGGAATTCTTAGGAAATAAGCAATCATATGCATTGTGACAGCTATTTTCCAAGTAAAGCAAGAAGAATTTAGACCACAGGGTTCTAGAATAAAATCCACAAAAAGGAAGGAAAAAAAGAAGTCAGAAAGATTTTGATGCTTAATCGCAAGACTAACATTTTCAACGGTGATTCAGAAAAGCACAATTCACAAACCAAGTGAAGACCTATTGGAGTTCTAAGACTTTGAGCTTTGCTCCAATGACTACATTTCCAGGCACTAGGCATACATGTGAGCTTTGAAATTATGCCGCATTTTGGGCATTTTCACTTCCATAGTCAAGTCAAAAGTTTAGGGAAATTGGTCCTAAAGGAGAATTATTACCTATCAACAGCTCACAGTAAAATCATTCTAATTCACAACATATACAATTTCAAGCCTGGTTACAAAACAAAGGCAATACTTTGACAAAGTGAGCTTTAAGATATAAAGTCAACTTCTCTACAACATATATAACTGAAAAGGAAGTTCACAGCTAATAAACAGATAAACAAACAGCTAAAGTTTTCAATTACCGGCTCTTTCCTAATGAACCAAGGGCACGCTGCTTTTGTGGCTCGCTTATCTTTTTGGGGGCGCTTCCCAAATCGCAAGGTATTAGTTTTGAGTAAATTGGTCTCATCTTATTATCAATCCAAATGTATAAGACAACTGAAAGGGCGAGTCGCATAGACCACACAACTGCTGTTGCAACAGTAGAGTAGACTTCAGCAGGGATGTTATTCACATTATACACATCTACATTCACAAGCTGTTGATGCAACTTCCTCCAAACATCATTCCAGCAATCTATCGGCATCCGGTCAACAACATGACGCTTGAAAACAATATCCTTTCTATTTTCCCCTCCTGAGCCTTTTGTTTTTCCATCCTTGTAATATGGTAGAATCACTACAAAGAAACCAGAAATACCAAATAAAACAAACTACGGAATAAACAAAGAAAATTTAGACATCTAGACAGGAAGGATAGTGAAGATTAACTGCCCCAGTCATATTTCATGCATTGCCCATTTATCTGAAATATAACCAATAGAAAGCTGAAATGCTGTAAGATATTAGCTAGTATTAGATGTTGCATAAATGATTCTAAGTGGAAAACCATCTTGATAACTGATAACTAAGTTATAAATTTAGATATTGACAGAAATCAACAATAAAATAGTTAAAAATGACTCTGAACCTTCAATACCTAGAATTATATTCTTTCAATTTGTGCACCTGCTGCCCAAACGCACGCATAATAGTTAAGCTGGGGAACTTGACGTGTGTGCCTGCTACCTTGAATCATATTCTTTTAATTTATTATGATGCTCGATCGAAAAAAGGCCTTCTATTGCTTAGCGAGGTGTATGTGCAAAGCATTATCATAACAAAATGAAAAAAGTAACCACGTAGATAATAATTAACCTGAAACGGTCTGGCCATAGTTGGAATACTCCATAAACTGCACATTATTTGCATTGAGAAGGTTCTGAAATTGACTGTAGTCTATTTTATGAGAATTTTCGGGGTCCCACTCAGTACCCTTCAATTTTCCCTGCATAGCCAGCAATTTCCTACTCCATTCTGAAGCCAGCAGAAGCTGCCTCTCTAATTGAACATTTGCCTTTCTTTCAAATTCCTCTAACTTATTTATCCGTTCACGCTCTGCCTCCTTCAGTTTCTGATCCACATTTAACAAAATCACATAGCATTAAAAACCAATTTTACTACTGAAGTAACTATTCATAATTAACAACTTTTTACCACATTCATCATAAAATTTACCTCAAAGAGCTGCTGAGCTGACTCAGTTTCGTCATTAACAGAGTTGGAATTGGAAGTAGAAGTGGAGCCGGACTTACAGGCTTGGATATTGAGGGATTTGGAGCCAATAGAGAGGCAATTTCTCCGGCGAGGTCGGAGCTGTAAATTGAAAGGAGTGAATACAGATGGAGAGAATCTGGGTAGGGTTTTAGGAGGGAAGGAGGGTTTTAGTAAATGGATACTGCTAGATGTCATTCTTAGTTTTTCTGTTGGATTAGCTCAGACGCACTCTTTTGCTGTTCTCTTATCCATGAGTGACAAAACCTCATTTTCTACAATGCAGCGTTGAGTTGTTAGTCTACTATTTTTTTATTTTTACAACAAGGAGAGGCATGTGTCCGAATAAGAAGAGACAACATTTCTCATTTTGGCCTGAGTTATTATTAGTTACCACTTGTTTACCAAATTGGGATGATCAAGGGGTCGTGACAGCGCCTCATCCACACCTGCTACGCAAGCCAACACTTAACAACAATAAAAGAAGCAAAATTAAACATTTAACAACATACAATCATAAATAATGGATAAAGCTCCGAAATTACATAACAAATCTAAAACAAATGCAACTTCCTAAGCAACTTACCAAGAATGGTATCACTAAATACATGAGCTCTAAAGAGTACTAAATACAATGTCTGAAATAAATTATAATATTCTGATACAAATAAACAATAGCAAAAATAATAAAGGTGACTACAGAGTCTGCGATCGAATATGTCGCACTACCTCGAGTCTCTCAGATATCCAATCCCGAGACTCAGCTAGGACCAACGTATGAATCTGCACAATAAGTACAGAAGTATAGTATGAGTACAACCGATCCAATATACTCAATAGGTATCGATCCTAACCCCGACGAGATAATGACGAGGCTAAGACAAGATGCCTACTTTATAAACCTATACAGTTAGTAAGCAAGATAAGTAACAAAAGAAGTGACATGAATAAATACGAGGAATAGTAAAATGATCAATTAAAAGAAATAACTAACATGCTTTCTCAAATGTCACAAAAAAAACCTTCCGCAACAACTCAAATCCAAATGAATAAAACGATAACCATGAAATAACATAGCCAAGTCCGTAAATCTAATAGATTAAAAAAAATGAGTAAAAGATATCATATCAAATAGGACGGCAACACCCTTCGTACATTTATCTCTCATCCTCATAACTATTCGTGCACTATTTACATATCATTTTTTCTTACAAGTACGAAAACACCCTTCGTGCAATAATAATATTATCAAGAAGCACAGAAACACTCTTCGTGCATAATCACTCTTCCTCACAAGCACGGAATCACCCTTCGTGCTATTCACTCTTCCTCACCAAGCATATATAAAACAGTATCAAGCAAGGTTGGAAGAATAAATAATATCAAGAAAAGTTATTAAGCATAATACACCACGTGAGAGATAATCGTAACCTTTGCACCAGTAGGCGAGCCAATATTTCAACAAAGCTCAAACATAGCTATTAACATGTATGTTAATGATCAAGAAGTTTCACGAACTATTTAAAGCACAAAGGAAATAAGACATGAATAAGGTTAATTATACCACATGCTTAAATCGTGAAAAATATACATACACTCGTCACCATGCATATATGTCGACCTCACCACATTTATCACATAGCAAATAGACCCAAGTACAACCTAATTCCCTCAAATCAAGGTTAATCAAGACATTTATCTCTTTATCGGAATAAATCAACTCTATGACACTGCTTTCCCTTTAGAACAAGCCTCCAAATAACTCGAATCTAGGTAGATAATATTTAAATAAGTCAAAACAAACTTTAGAAACCCTCCTAGTATCAAAAGGTTTGATCTTTGCCTACTTTAGAAAAGTCAAGAACAAGTCAATCTGATCCCACAAGGTCAAAATACGAAATCAAGACCAAATCCCGATTACTTATTCTTTTCCGAATCCAAATATGTGATTTAAATCAAAATCGGACCTCAAATCGAGGTCCAAATTTTTCATAATTAGCTCTTTTAAATTTTACCCCAAAACTCCAATTTTTACACTTCAAAACCCTAGATTTAAGGGTGAAAATCTATGGAAAATTAGGAAAATAAATCAAAACTAAGTTAAAATTACTAACCATTGAAGTTGGGTGAAAATCCTCTCAAAAATTGCCTCAATTTGTGGCCCAGGTCTTAGAAATGATGAAAATAGCTAAATTTTGATTTTTGCCCTATTTTAAATCACCGGACAAAAACCTTCATCGCATTTGCGGAAGGCCCCCCGCGTTTGCGAATGTCAATGGTTAACAGACCATCGCGTTCGTGAAGGCAGCATCACATTCAGGGATGGCCAATCCCCT